TGCAGAAACCACAGATGTGGGGTGCTGGGTGGGTGGAGGAGGGCAGATACAGGGAGCCACGTGATAGGCGGCAAGAAGCAATTGCTGATCTTGAGAAGGACACTATGAAACACATTCAGACTTAAAAAACGACAGCAATTTTGGATCGTGTTTTAGGATCATTGAGCATAGGAGCAGCCGTCTGTCTCTCAGCAGCCCTTGAGAGTGTTACTATGCGGCTCCAGAGGTTTCTTGTGATGATTCCTGGAGTCTTGGTGTCCCGTGCTCTCCCAGAGGTGCCAAGTGGGTGGGATTGAGCCATATCCTCATCTCTCACTTCAACTCTTTTTAAAAAATATTTTTGTATGTTAAATTGTATAACAAGGCTTCTCAGCTAAAATATACAGCATTTGAAAGCCAACATTTTAGAGTATAGTTTGTTTCCATAATGAGGCTGAATCATAAAGAAAAGATTAAATTATGCTCAGCATTCTGTGTGTACAAGGCAGAGAAAGATAAAAAGTATTTCAGAAATATTTGCATTAAAATGGTAAAAATAAAGGTTTTGGCATGGTAAGCTCTGATTAAATATTTGTTGAATCGATGAATTACTAAATGCCAAGAGAGAAACTCAATGTTTTGAAAATTTTGTCTTCCCTCACACACTGAATAAATAAATCAGGACCTAACATGGCTCCTTTGTTGAATTTTGTTGTGTTTGTAGATACCTGGGTTCAGTCTTCTAAGAACAACTCAAAGAGGGAAGTGACAACATCTGGCAAGGCACTTGCTCACAGTGCCCTCAAGTATCATCTTGCAATCTTTAAACCGTCTTTAAGAAATACATCATCAAAGTATTTGGGGTGACAGCTGATGGCCCATTCTCTTGCAAATGTGGAAATTGAGACTAACGTCAGCTCTAGAGAAAGAACAGTTTATTTTGTCTATTTAATTAATGTATTTAACTAAAGAGAAAGGTGCTTGTTTTCTTAAAGGTAATTGATTCATTCATTATTTTGTGCATTGAGTGTCTCTTGCCAAGAATAAGGCAGAGTTAAACATGGAATATACATGTGTTATATATATATAGACACACACATATATACATAAATATACATAAATATATATATTTGTATATGTATATATGTATTTTACATATATAAATATATATATGTATAGTTAAAATTGTAAAATACTGCATGTGTGTATGTAAACGCCACGTGTACATTCGTGTGTGTGTGTGTGTGTGTGTGTGTGTATCTCCTTGGTTTTGTCTCTTGACATCACAGCCTAAAAAATTTAATATCTGGCCCTTTACAGGGAAAGTTTGCCAACTTCTATTCTGCAGTCTCACCAACCAACATTGGATGTTGCCAGTCTTTTTAATTTTAGCTATTATGATGGGTCTGTAATTATATTGCATTGTAATTTTTATTTTTATTTGTCTAATTTCTAAAGGCACGCGTCTCTTTGCCTCCTCTGGGCCAGTACCCCCCTGGCTTATTCTTGTAGCCTTATCACAAGTCTGGATACACGGTACAGTAACATTCCATCCTTCCTTTTTCTTCAATATACATTGATGACCAGCTTGTCAGTTTACATACACCCCCCCCCAATCCACACCCACACACACACAATCTATTGGAATTTTGCTTAGAAACGAATTAAATCTATAAATTAGTTTGGAAGAATTGATATATTAACTAATTCAGTGTTTCTCGAACTTTTTCCCCCTAATATTTCTTCTAAAGAGTCTTTTTTAGACATTTCCCCCAATTACCCACCCTCACCTCTGTGAAATTTTAATGCCACAAGATATACTGTATATCTGTGCTTGTACATAAGGACAGTTAGATTTTTCATCCCCCTAGAACCGATTTTTACCCCTTCTGGGGGAGATCACCCACCATTGTGAATACGTACCCGAATCCACAGTATAGCTTTCCATTTATTTAGATGTACTTTGATTTTTGTTAGCAATATTTTCTAATTTTCTGTGCAGTCAAGCAGACTTATTTTTAGTTGTTTGATGTTTTGGAATGTAGGGTTCATGCACTTCTGGGTTGGCTGTGCAGCTCCCAGCAGGCTCAGCTGAACAGGTGTGGTCACCGCTGTGCCGGGCACCTTGGCCTCTTTGCCCCGCACCCACGTGCCGGCCACCTGGCCTCGCCACCTCATCGCCCCTCGATTTGTAGACTCCATGGTTCAAGACATATACTTGAAAGTCCTAGTGTAATTTCACAACCATTTGTCATTTGTGCAATAAAGGAAACCATATATGTGATTTTAAGTACAGAACAGACATCTGGAAGGGAGGGCCGCACCTTGAAACGCGTTGGTAATTAAGGCATCAACCACAGCGATGATTTTTTTCATGGTTCACAAGGACAGAGTGGAGATGTGTCAGTAGATGGCGCTGTTTCTTAATAGATGGAGAAAGGAAGCCCGAACGTGGTGGAGCAGGTTAGAGGAACATAGGTGTTTCCTTTTTGTTGTTGTTGTTAAATTAGAATGAGGCATAAGATAAATAAAACCAGAGGAAGTTCTGCAGGATCCCCTGTGATCTACTTCTTTGGTGAGCTTAACTAAAGTCAGTGAAGGAACTCGAGCGCTCTCAGCCCCTCGCTCGTGGTGGCTGCTGCTCCGTGCCTTTTCCCAGGCCAGGCTGAAGTAGGCGACAGCGTCGTGGGCAGTTGGTGTGGCCAGAAGAAAACACCCGGACGGAAGCCCCGGGTGCCCCCCTGTGTGTGGCCCTGTGCTCCACACAGAAAGCAGCGCTGGTTTTCACTTTCAGAACCATCAGTGTGGGAGACAGCAGGCAACAGGAAAGGAATGGAACCCAAAGCCTCCCCTCCCTTTGGGAGAGTCAACGATTTGGTTGCAAATCCTGCCTCTGCCGCATCCTAGCTATTTGGTACCATCAAACAGTTAATCTCTTTGACCTCAGTGTCCTTACCTGAGAAGAACAGAGATAGTATCTCCAGGACACAGAGTGTTGTGAGACTAAATGAGGCAACATCTGCAGAGCTCCTAACCTGGCACCAAGGGATGACAGTCTACTATTGTGAGATTAGTCTATGCTCTTTGGAGCTTTGAAAGTGGACCTCGTGGGTGTAAGTGGTAACTGTCATGTGCCCTGGTGACACATGTCATCAAACCTGGATACTTGTATTACTCTCAGGTTTTTAAAAAAATTTTTTTTATTTGTATTTTTGGAGGGAGTGTAATTAGGTTTATTTGGTTTTTTTGTTTGTTTGTTTGTTTGTTTATTTAATGGAAGTCCTGGGGATTGGGCCCAGGACCTCAAGCATGCTAAGTGCACACTCTACCCCTGAGCTATACCTTCCTCCTGCTCTCAGGTTTGAACTCTGCAGCCCAGACATATGGCCTTAAACAGCAGGATCCAGACCCCTTTGCTTCCTGGTTCCCCTGAGGAGCTTACAAAGAGCATCCATGCCCCAGCCCGAGGGATTCTGATTTAATTGGTCCAGGGTGTGTCAGATCTGAGGTGACCCTGGCTGGCAGTGACATTGAGATGCTCGGTTTACAGCGTGCTGTCTTTACATGGCGTCACCTGCAGAGGTGAGACCTGGCCTCAGGCTTGGAGTGTGCTCGCAGGTTGGCACGTGTATGTCTGGGAGGTGTTGCAGCCCCTCCTTTCCTTCTGGGCGCTTTGCAGGCTGCTGGGGCAGCCGGCTCACAGGTCTCTTAGACAGCCGATTCTGACTGGGCAGAGGAGCAGTTTGGATGTAAGGGGCATGTTTCCCCCTCAGATGGGCTCCCGGAGAGAGAGAAATGAAGCTCCACGAGCGAACTGCAGAGAGCAACATCTTTTTCCCTCTCCCTTTTTCTGTCTTTGTGCTTCTGCCTCCGTGTGCACATGTCTGTGTTTGCATTCCTGTCTGCTCTTCCCGTCTTGTGTGTTTGTTTGTTCCTTTTCTTTCTGTCTGCCTCTGTCTGTGTGTCTCTGTCTTGATTCCTCTGTCCTGGCAGGGTCTAGGCATTTATGCACCCCAGGGTTACTGAGTATTCTGCAGAGAAACAGAACCAATAGGAGCTCATATATATGATCATATATATATAAAGAGATTTATTATAAGGGATTAGCACACATGATCACGGAAGCTGACAGGTCCCAAGATCTGTAGTCAGCAGGCAGGAGACCTGGGAGATCCGATGTGTAAGTTTCAGGCTCAGTCCAAGTCTAAAGGCAGGCAAAGACTGGCAGCCCCATCCAACGGTGGTCAGGCAGAGAGCAAATTCTCCCTTACTCAACGTTTCAGTTCTATTCAAGCCTTCAACTGATTCCATGCTCCCCACCCCCCACACTAGGGAGGGCAATCTACTGATGTTAATCTCATCCAGAAACACCCTCACTGACACACCCAGAATAATGTTTGATCAAATGTTAGACATCCTATGGCTTGATCTAGTTGAAATTAACTATCACACCGTAGAAATCTGTATGTTCACCACCCTAGAATTTCTCGGTTACCGAAGTCTTAAACTGGCTGACTGAGGGTCAGATCCAGCTCTCAGGCGTGTCCTGTTGGTCTCCCATTTTCGTGCCTATGTTACGCCCAGTGATATTACATCCACTGAACTTCACTCTGTGTGTTACCTGCCTGATCACTTTTTCTAGGTCATGACCAGGTAGGAGGTCACTGAACATGTGACCTCTTTCCCATTGATCCTGACAGAGTATAGCAGAGTTTGGTTACTCATGGCTTACTTACATCGCTGAGAAAATCTAAGCACATTTTCGACTTGCACTGGCAATATTACCGAACAGCTGAAAGATTTTAGCAATTTGACTGTGCATCTACCTGGCTTCTTCCCTGTCCTCTGTCTTGAGAAGAGACCTCACTCCCTGACTGCCGTCTGTGGAAGGAAGAGGATTTCAGTCATTCACACCCTGCTTGCCAGGGTGAACCCCAGGGCATTTTAATCTGTTGTCCATCAGGAAAGAGAGTTTTTGCCCGATGCACTGTCTCCTCATCCTGACTCTTTTTGTTTTTTAGGTCATCTCACGCTCCTTCCTCGCTGGAGTTTTGCCTGACATCCCCAGATAGCTAAATCCTTTATCAACCAGGACACATACCCCTGGGCTGCTGTCTTCTGGAAATAGCTTAGAATTTGAAAATACAAGTTTGTCACTACCCAAATGTTTTGCTGTTTAAAACAGAACTTAAAAGATTTTGAAACAAACTGTTCTATCCAATGGGCATTAAAGAAAAGGCAAGTCCATAACTGTATAATAGAAATATAACACCCTCAGCTAAAGACTATATGATTATGCCAGTGTTTTACATACTTTTCTGAAAGTCTCTGGGACAAATTATTACAATTTTCTTGTTTTATACGGTACATTGAAATGTTTCCAACAGTGCTGTGTTTTGGAAAGCATAAGGTAAAAAGCAGTCTCAAATTATTAAAAATTAAAAAAAAAGGAATAGTTTCTGTGCCTTTGCTGCTTGGTGGGTTGGAGGCAGAGAGATGAGGGCTCTGGGACAGAGAAGACTGAAAGAGATACAAGTGTATAGAACTGGTCGGGGGTCGGGGGAAAGAGAAGGCGAGGTGTGGACAATGGGAACCTCCCGGGGCTTCTTCCCTCGGGATGTTCTCGGCAACACTGGTCAATGCTTAAACTATCCCAGACAACGTCTGTGTGCCTGCAATCTCTAGGAGCAATTTCAGAATCAATCCGAGCCATTTCCAGTCAATCCGGCAGTACACCTAGGTCTGTGATGGGAACTGGGGTAAACCAGGGCCATTCATTCTGCTGGAGTTCTTCAAGCCTCCCAATCAATTTAGAGACAGATTGTTTTTTTTTTTTTTGCACTTCAGAAGAATCCAGCTTTCAAAATAAGAATTGAATCAAGAGGCAAGGATGGCCCAGTAGCACTCTGTGTTTTAGGGCTGGCTGGGCACAAGTCAAGAATTTGGTTAGTGACTCCACGGAAATAGATGAGAAGAAAAACAAAGACTGTGTCATGAAGAGATGACTGATTTGCTCTGAGGAAACCTGTGTAGGAGGGCTCTAGGGATAACCTGCTATTGAGTGTCAAAAATAAGTGAAGTCTGGTACATGGCTGGATCACTTCCCAGCAGCCTCTCTGGAGCACTGTCTCATGATCTCTGCATCTCTGGTTTGGTTTCAGCAGTGACTCCCACAACACCTCTTGCGCTTTTCTCAGCTACTTTCTCTGTGAGTTTATGGACCCAAAGACTCATTTCTGAGAACTGGAGGAAGCCTAGTGATTTGCGTGGTAGGAAACCCACAGATACATCTTGCCACACTGCAGCTGCTGACTCTTGTCTTTCTCTTCATTGAACTATAAGCTCCTTGCAAGCAGGGCGGCAAAGACTCTCTCCTTGACTAGTTCTCTGAACCCCTTCTTGGCTAGACCCCAATTTAGGCCTTGTACCTAGCCCAATTGGTTCATGGTTTAAGCAAAAATCCTGCTGAGTCCATTTAGGGAAAATCCCCTCCCTTGATATCCAGTCAAATTCCTTATCCCCCACCCTCAACATCTTATCACCCAGCTCTTCCTTCAGCAAGAATATTGTTGAGTTGGCTTAGCTAGAATTCCCCTTATCCTTACTGTTTCCTCTTAGTACTTTTTCATCCACTGATCTCCTCCCTGCTCTTTGGCTATAAATCCCCACTTGTCTTTGTTATATTCAGGGTCGAACCTGACCTCGTTCCCCTGTTGCAAAGCAACTCCCAGCCTCACTGCCATGAATAAAGCCTTCCTAGTGTCTTAACTAATGTCAGAATAATTAATTTTTTGAAAAGGGCCAGCTTGACTTTGCCTCCTTAGAATCTAACACGAGACCTGAACCATAGTGGGTACTCCATTAATAATTTTTGAAGAGGCAAAGGAATGAAAGAAATAGGTAGCCTGATGTAGCCTTGCAAACAGGGGCTTTGAAACCCACAGACCTGTGTTCAAATTCCTATTCTGATATTTACCAGCTATGAGATCACAGATGAACCATTGAAATTCCTTGTGTTCAGCTTCCTCAGCTGTCATGAATGAGGAGCAAATGAGATAATGTGAAACGTCAGGAACGTGGGTTTTGATCAACAATGGTTATCATTGCTGTTGCTATTAGTAACAACGATGGCAAAATGACCACCCAGCCTGGGACACGCAGGAAAGGTGTGGTTCTGCCTAAAACGTCTCCACTTCTCCCAAGGAGTTCCCATTCTGTAATGGACAAAATTGTGTCCCCCCCCAAATCCATTTGTTGAAGCCCAACCCACACTCTGACTGTATTTAGAAATAGGGTCTTTAAGGAGGTAGCTAAGGTTAAATGAGGTTATAAGGACCAGGGCTAATCTGATAGGAGTGATGTCTTTATTAGAAGAGCAAGAGACACCAGAGAGGTGCCAACCCGCTGCCCCGCAACTTGGCCATGTGAGGACACCATGAGAAGGTGGCTGTCTACAAGCCAAGGAGAGAAGTATCACCAGAAACCAACCTTGGCACCTTGATCTTGGACTACCAGCTTCCAGCACTGTGAGAAAACACATTCCTGTTGTTTAAACCTCCTAGTTGGTGGTATTTTGTTATGGTGGCAGCAGCTAACTAGTGACCATTCTAAGCCCCCTGCTGACACTCAGCTCCCCACTGTGTAAACAACCCTCCTTCCCCCATCATAGGGTAATTTCTCCATCCATCACTGCATTCTTTACTTATTCAATCTGTTTTTTTTTTTTTATCAGTTCCATCCAAGCCTTTATGCCCTCTTCCAGAATTTGGCTTTTCAAAGACTATGATTATTTTCTCATCAAGCTAAGCTGTCTTTCAAAGGAAAATTTGTATCCAATATTTTGAGTTTATAATTTTATGTGATCAAGGACTAATTAATTTTGTAAACAAAGCTTGGGATGGTTAGAAAAAAGTACAGAGAATTAGTACAGATTAGGAGGTGCTATATCTTGTGTTAAGAATGGAGAGGAGTTTCCTTATTTTGGCCAAAGAGAAGGTGGAAGGCAGCATTTTTTGAGACACTCAGCCCATTCATATTTGTAATTCAGTTTTTGAAAGAGTCAGTCCCTTTCCTTGACCTCATTTGGGTGAGTAGATGTTCCAGTTATTTGTTGCCTAACAAGCCAACACATAATTTAATGGCTTACAATAACAATGATTATTTATTTTGCCCATGAAGTCTGGCCAGGGCTTGGAAGAGACAGCAGGTCTCTGTGAAGGGAACGGGGACAGGTCCACCATGGGCTGGAGGAGCCACTTCCATGGTGGATCATTCACACGGCTGGCAAGTCTGGATGCTCAGCTGAACTCTGGGTCAGAGCCTCGGCTTCTCCATATGGGCCTCCCCAAAGGCTGCTTCGGCTTTCTCACAGTAAGGCAGCTGGATTCCAAGAATGAGGTCTTAAGAGACAAGAAGGAGGTGGAAGCTGCCTGTAGTTAAGGATGAGACTTGGAAACTGGCGCAGCATCACTTTTGCCTTAACTTATCGGTCAAGTTGTCATGGAGGGGCCCTAGACCTCTCCTCTTAATGCGAGGTA